AAGAGATGACAGCGCATGCATGAACTTTCGGAGGTCCACGCAGATATCTTAGCTCTGGATGCCAGGGGCGTCGGTGAAGCGCCGCTATGGGTGCCCAGCGCCGATCAAAAATATCCGTGCGGAGCAACGAACATTTATGCCGATGCCGCTTTCTCTTCCTGAAGCCGTGGCCCAGCAGGGGTGGGGATCCGGCGAAACGATGATGATTCCTGTACGGGGCGGGGGCATATCCATCTTATCGCCTGTGGGACCGACGTCCTCAGAAGGGGCGGACTATGATTTTACCCACATGTATGTATATGTACCAAAACCACGCGCGCTTCGCGCGCGCTTAGGTTCTAGTCGCACGTGTGCCACCAACTTCGGACCTCGATGTCGCCTGCCTTGGGGGCCTGAGACCTTTTATCCGGAACGCGCTCCATCAGGAAACGCTGCGGGCGTTCAGGATATGTGTTGTGCCGTCGAGCCTCCTGGAGACTGTGCAACTTGGTAGTCCCCCAAACGTGGTGGTGACAACACCTGGCGGTGAGTCTCGGGCGATTTGGTGTCACCACCCGGTTTGGGGACTCGTGCGGTTTTCCGAGGATGTCCCGGACACTGGTGGGTCCAGGAGTCATAAAACCAGGTCGTGACCCCGTGTCCCCAAACCCAGCGGTGACCTTTCTTGGGGATTCCAGGTCGCCACCTGGTATCTCACCACCCGGTTTGGGGGTTCCAAAGCAACCGCGCGGGGCCTTCTGGAACGGAGCGTGCTCCGGGAGAAACCCACTGGCAGGCGCTGCGTCTGGGAACGACTGAAGCCTGGCTCCACCCCAGGCACGCCGGAAAAAACTCCCAACGCCGCCTCGGAGACGCCCCCTTGCCGGCCTACAAATGAGAACTCGCAAAACGTACAGTCATCGGCCTGACCTAAGGAACGAGAAATAAGGAACGAAGCCCCTTTCTTATCCCAAGGAACAACGCATAAGGAACGACAAGTAACAAGTAACGCATAAAGGAAGGGTAAATAACGCATGCAAGCCTAAGGAATGACCGAGCCCCTTTTGAAAAGTAAATGTTCCTTATTCAAGCCGCTCACTGTAAGAAAGCGACCGCTGCAGAAGAGGGAACCCCACTGGACGCATGCTCCGGAACACGCTGGATCAAGACGCGGCATGGGCTGTGCACGCAGGCAAGAGAGGCGGCCGCGGGAGGAGACGAAACTCGGCGCGTCCCGGGATGCACTCGCCAGGACACGCTCCAGCGGGACAGCTTGTGGGCCTTCATGGTGACATCCTGGGGTTTGTAACCAGCCTCGAACGTATCCCTATCCTTAAGATTAACAAACCAAAAATCGACGACGACAATCTTAGGGATGCGCCCCCAGAAACGGAGGGAATCCCTAAGATCGGCATCGAGATGAGGCGATGCCTATCATAGGGATAAGAGGCTGGTGAGTTTGGGGAATCTCGGAGGCCTTGTCAGGCCCCAGGGGGCCTCCTGAAACCCCGCTCGCAAATTGGCTGCTGGAGCGGTCGTTCAACCAAATGGATCGACTGACGAAGAAGATGAGAAAAACCAACGCGTTCTGGGACGTATTGTCTGGAATCGGAAGCGAAACGGCGAGGGCGTCCAAAACGTTGGGTCCCCCCTTGTTCTTCAAGTTGGTGGGCCTCCCGGTGGTCTCTTGGATGCCGCTTGGGGGACCTCTAGAGGGCTTTTTTGAATACCTCAGGGGCGCCTTTTTGGGGACTCTGGGGGTTTTCCGAAGCTTCTTGGACTGTCCCAGGGTGCTCGTGGCTGGTCTGGCGCCCTGGGGAGCCATTTGGGGGGACTCTTTGGGCCGTCCAGGGGCCCTCTTCGGAACCTCTTGAGCGTTGTCGGCCAATCCTGCCACCGTGTCTGGGTCGTGGTTCAGACGCGTGTCAGCTGCATGTCGGGGTATCATGCGATGCTTCCTTGGGGCATTTGGGGGTACCTCCCTCTTGGAGGTCTCTTGGGAACCTCTTGCGGCATCCTGGGGGAACTCTTGCAAGCCTACGGGTGGGCGTTATGTGGCCTCTTGGGAGGGGGGGGGGGGCTTTGGTACCTTTGGGTTTGTCGGCGATCTCGGGAGCTACCTTAGCCCCAGGGGACCTTCGCTTTGCCCTTCGCGTGCCTCTCTTTGGCCGTCTTGGGGGCTGCTTCGGCCATCTTGGCGGCCCTCTGAAGCCGCATTTGGGCCTTATTGGGCCGTCTCGGGGCCACGTTGTCAGCGTTTTGTGTGATTTGAAAAACCTTTGGGGGCGCTTTCGGCGGTTGGAACCCAGGAAGGGTGAGAAGTGCAAAAGCATTTCCCCAAAAACAAGCTACGGCGGGTTCGTGTCGTGTCGACCCTGGCGTTGGTTTCTGACACCGCGTAGATCGTTCAACCTTGAACGATCAGCGGCTCTTCGATCGCCCAATCGTTTCATGCTGGTCGATTCTGGGCCACTAGCGGCGTTCAACCTTGAATTCCCGCGGCGGGGTCGACGAGGGTCGACACGACGCGAACCTACCGCACGCAGATACAATTTTGGAATATCGAGGCTCCCTCGAGGGCGCTCTCGGGCCTCGAAGCCACCGCGGGCGTCGCGCCGCGACCGCTCGGCGACTCGGGGCCCTCCTGGGCCGTCCATGGGGCTTCTTTGGGCCCCCCCTGGCATTTTCGGGAGCGGCCAAGAGGGGGGTGTCCAAGAGGGGGGGGTGCAAATCATGACCGTCGGCATGTGCGCGGCCCAGCGGGGGGGCCAGGGACGTAATGAAATAAGAAGAGGCGCCACGAAATCTGAGGAAAAATCATGGCCCGCGCCATGAAATCCACCCCCCCCTAATCATCACCCCCCTCTTTTCCGCTCCCGACATTTCCGGGGGCTCCAGGGGGCTCCCCTGAAAGGCCGGGAAAGGCGCAGGGAGGCGCTGGAGGGGTGCTGGACCAGATTGGGGGCTCGAGGTCCCGGTGTCTGGCCCGCTTCCCCACGTAGATGTAAATCTCAAAGGGGGTGGACGAATGGGGAGAGGAGGGCACCGCGAGGCATCCGAGAGGCGCCCAAGATGGCTCCACAAGGGCTCCCCGGAGCACGATGCGTACGAGGAGGCAGGGAAGGCTACGAGAAGGAGGGAGCACGGCAGGCCAAGTCGCAGGAGCGGGTGGCGCCGCCGCGAAGCGGGAGCACTTAATTCGAAGGACGGCTGAGCCAGAGGCCTGGCAACCTCTGGCAACCTCTTGATTTGCGGGGTATCTTGGGGAACCTCTGTGGTTACCTTGGGAACACATTTGAAGCCTCTTTGGGCCCTGTTCGGGCCTGTCTGGGGGGCCTCTGTACGGGCTGTTTGGGGGGAACCTTGGAGCCTCTGGGGGCTTTCTTGGGACCCGCTGGCGGTATGAGGGGCTCTCGTGAGTAATATTGAAACCCTCTTGGGGCCTCCATGTGGCCGTCTTGGGCGCCTCTTGGGCGCGTCTTGGGGCTCTCTGGGGCCGTCTTAGGGGGCCTCTTGTGGGCTTCTTGGGCCGACTTTGGGCAGTGGCTGGGGCTGTTGGGGCCGCCGAAGACGCTGTGGAAGCCAGAAAATCGTATACTCTGGGCACGTGCGTTGGCGATGGTTGGCTTCTCGGGGCCCTTTGGGGGGGGGCCTCGTGGAGCCCTCTTTGGGCGTCTTGGGGGGCTGCTGAAGCCATCTTGGCGTGTCTTGGAGCGTTCGCGGGGCGTCTGGGACGGTCTCGAGCCAGTCATGGCGGCCTCTGGAGCCGTCCGAAAATCCTCGGGGCCCTGCCCCATGAGCCCTTGGGTTGCTCCTGGTTTCCAGGAGACCCGCCCGGATCGGGGGGCAGAATGTGAGGTCCCTGCCCCACGACCTTGGGCTGGGATCACCCACAATTGTAAGTACGTTGACTTTCTTACCGTCGCCGTGCTAATTGGTCTCTCGGTGCGGTACATGATCGGGCTGGGACGGGTATGGCGCGCGATTGTTCTGTCCGTTGACATGTCAAATCTACTGGGGCCTGCCAGGAGGCCTCTTGGGGCCTCTCGGGAGCCTTTGGGCGGCCTCTGTTGGGCCTATTGGAGGCCAGCTGGCGGTCTCGGGGGCTCCTTTGGGGCGGAGGGCTCGAAATCTCAATTCGAATTCCCCTCTTGGACAACTCTGTGTGCCGAATGCCCTCCTGGGCTGTGCGTTCCGTCTTGGGGCCCTCTTGAGGCGTCTCGGGGCCCTCTTGAGATGATCTGGGAGGCCTCTTTCTTGTTGTTTTTCCTTGTCGGGCCAGTTAGGCTGCTCTCCAGGCCAGTGCATGATCTGGACGAGCTAGCTGCAGAACAGTGTGCCAAAAACTTTGTGGCACCACTGGCAGCAAACACAACGCCATGATCAGCGCAATCAGACCTCAGCCGTGCGGGGGGCATCTGGCCGCGCGCTGCACTTCCGATCCGAGCCAGCACCGGCGGGGAGAGGAGGACGAGGAGGAAAAATACACCCTGCGAAATGCTCAAGAAATCATGGGTTAAGAAATTCAGAGTCTGCGAATTTGAATAAAAACCCCGAACTTCTATTAAAATCTTGGGATTTACATTGAAAAGTTAAGAATAATCGAGACTCTGGCAGAAAACTTAGGTTTTCTTAAGCATCGCCTAAGGTGTAGGAGGCGCCGCCTCAGCAGAGCTGTCCCGACTATGGGGATCGGCGCGCAGCGCCGCAGCGCCCAGCTGGTGATATCGAGGGGGCCGTCTTTCAAGCGCGGATCATTACTCCAGATTTCGTAATAGAAGGGAGGGGGTCTGGACCCTCCAAGACAAGCCATTTCAGACCTCCCCCGTGGGAGAACCCTCCAAAACATCGTCCCCAGACCCCCCCAGGCCCTCCAAGATAGCCTGGAAGAGACCCCCCCCCGAAATGAGACCCCCCTCCCATTATTACGAAATCTGGAGTACTCAACGCAATCAAATCTTGCATCGAGCTCCTCTGACTGCAGATAACTGGGAGAGAGGAGCCACGGGCGACAGCGAAGCCTAACCCGAAAGATTGTGGTTATCCAGAAACTCGGGGCAAAAGTGCACGCTGTGCCATACACCGCCCCCATGCACACGGCAACCCCCGTACCCCGTCGGCCACTTCCACGGGAGGTATACGTCGGCCTTTGCTGCATATATGTCTTTGAATGCCGCGGTTGCCTGCCTCTCTGCATTGTTCGGGTCGGGCGAAAGGGGGGGATAGCAAAGGGGGGGTTTGAGAATCAGCTCACGTAGCTGATTTTCCCGGCGCCTCCCGGCGCCGGAAGCGGCCGTGTATCGAGGAATGGGCCCCTCGGTGAGGCCGAATCCAGCTGCATGCAGCAAATTTCGTAACCCCCCCTTTCCCAATCCCCCCCTTTCGCCCGACCCGAATTGTGAGCAGTCGGCCAGTCTGCGAAGGCATCTCGTGGCACGCGGGACGGCCGCACGGCGAAGAAGTCGGTGTGGGTCTGGTTAGGGGCGCAGCCAGAATGGTGATAGGCCTGTTTTCCACCACCACCACCATAAGTTGGAGGGGGAGGGGTCCTCCTCCTCCTCCTCCTCCTCCACTTCCTCCTCCTCCTCCACCTCCTCCTCCTCCTCCTCCACTTCCTCCTCCTCCTCCAACTTATGGTGGTGGTGGTGGAAAACAGGCCCATCAAATGGTCTTCGCAGTCCTCATAACAAGCGACGAAGACGCCCCAATTCTCTGCCTTCTCCATGAGAGGCCAGACCAGACTCTCGTCGTAGATCACAACGTCAGGATTGACCCTGATAACCCAATCGTAGCCACGGAACCATCCGCTGGAAAATCCCACGTGGGCAGCTTTCATTGCGCCCTCCTGGTAGCCGGGATTGTTACCGAAATGGACGAAACGATTCCCCACGGGCCACGTATCCAACAACCGGGTGATCTCATTCTTCATGCTGTCGGTGAGATTATCCTGCCCGACGTACACGATGACGTCCACCTTCGAAAGCATCGGCGAACGTGCTATCAGCGGCGGCAAACACTCTAAAAAACTCATGTGTTGATCCGAGGCGTGCGTTGTGACGTACAGCACAACGCTTGCGTTCGTACGTCGTGACGCAAGCCCCGACGCGGCACCGAATCGAGCGTAGTCGGCGTAGTTTGCCAGGAGCACGGCCAGGCCCACAATCGTGGCCACCGAGCCCCCGGCGAGCCACCACGCGAGCCCGCACGAGCAGCGCCGCTGTGAGCCGTCGCTCTCCAACGGGTTGGGGGGCGGAAAGATACGGATACGTGTTGTCCCCGGACCTCTCTTGGGGTGCGTTCTGACCAGAATCCCACCAGCCCTTTGGGCGTGAGTGGTTTAGCGAGCTCTCTCTGTTCTCAACCCCCCATCTTCCCCTTCGGGGAGGGGTTTACCCCTCCCCCTACCCCCTCCCCCTGGACCTGGAGAGGGAGTCCCGAGTGGTGGCAAGGGGGTCTTTTTCGACTCCTGGGAGGGCCAAAAAACGACGACCCTCACGAGGATTCTGGCCCCGAGGGGGGGGGGGGGGGGGGGGGGGGGAGTTTGGTGCCTCAGCTCGTCTTTGAAGCAAAAATCATTGATTTTACTACGGTTTTGGCCACATTTTGGCCTTCTGAGGGGGCCGCGTTCCCCTTCCTTCATAGCAAAATCATTGATTTTACGAAAAAGTTTTGGGCTCATTTTGTCCTTCTCAGGGGCCAGCGCTCATTTGCGCTTCTGAGGAAGTCGCAAGCGGCCCCAAGATGGCCCCACGAGGCCCCCAGGAGGCTCCCAAGAGGCCTCCAAGAGGCCCCCAAGAGGCCCCCAAGAGGCCCCAAGAGGTCCCCAAGAAGCTCCCAAGAGGCCCCCAAGAGGCCCCAAGAGGCTCCAAGAGGCCCCCAAGACGCCCCCAAGAGGCTCCCAAGAGGCCCCCAAGAGGCCCCAAGAGGCCCCCAAGAGGCCCCCAGAGGCTCCAAGAGGCCCCCAACAGGCCCCACGAGGAGCCCGAACGACTCACACCAGGACGAGAGACCCCAACGACTCACACCAGGACGAGGCGCCCGAACGACTCACACCACAAGGAAGGGCCCGAACGACTCACACCAGGACGAGGCGCCCGAACGACTCACACCACGAGGAGCCCGAACGACTCACACCACGACGCGGGCCCCGAACGACTCACACCACGAGGAGCCCGAACGAGTTACACCAGGAGGAGGGGACCGAACGACACACACACACACACAAGGAGGGGACTCACACCACGAGGAGCCCGAACCACTTACACACAATGAGGGGCCCGAAGGAGTCACACAAGGAAGGACGAGGCCCGAACGACTCACACCACGAGGAGCCCGAACGACTCACACCACGACGCGGGCCCCGAACGACTCACACCACGAGGAGCCCGAACGAGTCCCACCAGCCCTTTGGGCGTGAGTGGTTTAGCGAGCTCTCTCTGTCCTCAACCCCCCATCTTCCCCTTCGGGGAGGGGTTTACCCCTCCCCCTACCCCCTCCCCCTGGACCTGGAGAGGGAGTTCCGAGTGGTGTCAAGGGGGTCTTTTTCGACGCCTGGGAGGGCCAAAAAACGACGACCCTCACGAGGATTCTGGCCCCGAGGGGGGGGGGGAGTTTGGTGCCTCAGCTCGTCTTTGAAGCAAAAAACATTGATTTTACTACGGTTTTGGCCACATTTTGGCCTTCTGAGGGGGCCGCGTTCCCCTTCCTTCATAGCAAAATCATTGATTTTACGAAAGTTTTGGGCTCATTTTGTCCTTCTCAGGGGCCAGCGCTCATTTGCGCTTCTGAGATGGCCCCACGAGGCCCCCAGGAGGCTCCCAAGAGGCCTCCAAGAGGCCCCCAAGAGGCCCCCAAGAGGCCCCCAAGAGGCCCCCAAGAGGCCCCAAGAGGCCCCCAAGAGGCCCCCAAGAGGCCCCCAAGAGGCCCCAAGAGGCCCCAAGAGGCCCCCAAGAGGCCCCCAAGAGGCCCCCAAGAGGCCCCCAAGAGGCCCCAAGAGGCTCCAAGAGGCCCCCAAGAGGCCCCACGAGGAGCCCGAACGACTCACACCAGGACGAGGGGCCCGAACGACTCACACCACGAAGAGCCCGAACGACTCACACCACAAGGAGGGGCCCGAACGACTCACACCAGGACGAGGCGCCCGAACGACTCACACCACGAGGAGCCCGAACGACTCACACCACGACGCGGGCCCCGAACGACTCACACCACGAGGAGCCCGAACGAGTCACACCAGGAGGAGGGGCCCGAACGACTCACACCAGGACGAGGGGCCCGAACAACTCACACCACGAGAAGCCCGAACGACTCACACCAGGACGAAGAGCCCGAACGACTCACACCACGAAGAGCCCGAACGACTCACACCAGGAAGAAGGGCCCGAACGACTCACACCAGGACGAGAAACCCCAAACGACTCAAACCACGAGGAGCGCTTTCTCTCCCTCCTCCTCCGCCTCGTCCTTCTCCCGCTCCCCCCACAAGGAGGATGTACAAGGAGGCGGGAGGAAGGAGGAACAGGGGAGATATGCGGGGCCAAGCGGACACACGCCTGAAAAACACGACTGTCGGCATGCTTCGCAAGAGTTGCTGCTGTGAGATGGGCTGGTGGGGATACGCGAAGCGTAAAGAATTTCGAGGCGAATCCAGCGGTGACAAAGAGGATTCCCCAGGAGGACCAGGAAAGGCCGAAAACGAAGGGGGACGACACGTATCCGTATGTTTTTCTCCCCCGAACGGGGGCGTCGCAGAAGACTCGAGTGGCGTCGTGCCAAGCGGCACTTGCTCTCCCACCGGCAGGAGGGGGCCACCGCCGGCACGGTCTGCCGCGGCGGCCATCGCGGGGCCGGCGACGGGGGCGGGGCCGAGGCGGGCCCACGGTGGCCTGGGGATGCGCAGCCGCCGCATCGCCTGCCCGGGGTCCTTGAGCCGAAATGGCCACGGATGATCTGGGAGGCCTCTTGTGAAGGGGCCCCAGGACACACAAATAAATACACACAAATAAAAAATATCCCGGCAAAGCAACCTAACAGCGATGTGTAGGAGCATATCTGGAAGCATTCCCCTTAAGATTCAGATGAGAATCCAGTTGTAGAGTTCTGCTGTTCTCGCAGTCGTAGTCGCATTCGCGATGACAGTCGCAGTGGCAACGGCAGTCGCAGTCACAGCCTCAGCCTCAGCCTGCCTCAGCCTCAGCCTCCGCCTGCCTCAGCCTCAGCCTGCCTCAGCCTCAGCCTCAGCCTGCTTCAGCCTCAGCATCAGTCTGCCATCAGCTTCGGCCTCAGCCTCAGACTGCCTCAACCTCAGCCTGCATCAGCCTCAGCCTCAGCCTCAGCCTGCCTCAGCATCAGCCTGCCTCAGCTTCAGCCTCAGCCTCAGCCTGCCTCTGCCTCAGCCTCAGCCTGCTTCAGCCTCAGCCTCAGTCTGCCGTCGGCCTCGGCCTCAGCCTCAGCCTGCCTCAGCCTCAGCCTGCATCAGCCTCAGCCTCAGCACGAAGCAACCCAGCTAGAAGGACAAAGCGCTGAATGTACACCGATGTGTTCGACGACTGCGTATGTAATGATGTGACGATATACAGACTGAGCCCTTCGTGAATGTCTACATGTTTTTCTGACGCCTACAAACGGCGCTGACGTGTGTGAGAAAATTGTCCGCGCAGCAAAAGCCGGCGAAGCGTGCAGACAGCCAGCTGCAAAAGGTTGCGAGCGGCTCTTGGAAGACGTTTACGGAACGGAGCTACGGTGTCTGAAAACATTGGCATCGAAGCGAAGAGCCTCGGAGCCCTGCAGCCTGAGAAACACCGCAGGAACTCGCATACTGAAAAGGAATGCATTGCAAACCGCACGTTGCGAACCCTGCAGGCTGAGAAGCACCGCAGGATGTCGCATGCTGAAAAGCACTTGTACTGCAGAGCGCAGGCTGCGAAACCTGCAGGCTGAGAAGCACCGCAGGAACTCGCATGCTTTCGAACACTACTGCTCGAGACCGCAGCTGGAGAGCGGCAGACCGCAGGCTGAGAAGCACCGCGGGCAGAGAGACTTGCAAAACTCAGATGTCCTGATCGTCTTGGAGGAAGTCACGCCAGTCCGGCGGCTGCCAAGAATCGATGATGCGCCTGGAGCCACCGCCCGTGCTGCCGCCGATGTCCAGGTAGTCGCCATCGCCCCTGAACAGACGGCCGTGCCCGCACGCCAGAATCGCTTGGTTGCGGATTTGAAGCAGCGCTCCGCTCTCAAACATCTGCAACACGTCCAGCTGCCTGCGCGTGAAGTTCGGCTTTGCCTGGCCAGCCTGGGCAGACAGATGGAGGGAAAGCCGCTCCCCCTCGTTGTAGCGCGCGATGGCCTCGGCCTTCTGGTGGTGCAGCCGGCGCCGCTGTTGCCGCAGAGCTTCCTCGGGAACTGCTGCATCACGGCCCTCACTGTGATCAGCTTGCAACGCTTGCGTTAACCAATCAACGTCGAAGCGCCCTGAGAAGGCCAGCACCTCCCAGATCTGTTTGGTACCGGCCACACGTTGCAAATGGCGATGCCACCGCTTACGCTTCTGGTCTTTCACAAACTTGGCGACGCTACCCAGACCTGCACCCTTGGCCTGGCCACCTTTTCCCGCAGGCTGAGAAGCACCGTGAGAACCTTTCTTACCGCCTGGCCCTTTGTTCGGACCCTGCGGAACCGCATGGCCCCCTTGTGGCGCAGACTTGCCTTTCGCTTTTCCCTTTTCGATATCCCGTTCCTGAAGCGCACGCTGCTGCCGCGACTGCTCGTACTGGTCGCGAGCTACTCTGACCAATTCCTGGCGCTCAGGCTCCGTGAGAACGTAGCGCATGTCGTCGATGTTCTTGCTCCGCAGAAAGTCATGTCGAAGCTTAAGGACAGAGAGAATGGCTCGGCCAGTCTCCTCCTGAGACGCAAAGGCCGTGTCATATTCCGAGCCAGGCTGAGGAGCGCCAGCTGGATCAGTGTCCGCTGGCTCCGTGGACTTCCTCTTTTTGAAAAGCAAGAGACTGAGATGATGGAGGACTTTCGGATCGTACTCCTCGTCGTACCTGTCGCCCCAAAGCTGCCTCAGCTCCCTGTGCAAGTCGCCCGCGCGATTCTGAACGACATCCTCGACGTAGTCGGGATCACCCGGTGAAGTCGGTGAAAGCGGAGGAGCAGAACTCGGCGACCGATCCCAATGCACAGAAGACTCGCGGTCCGCCTGTACGCTGACGTCGGCGTCGGAGACGT